GTCTGGGAAGTTACCACATGCTGCAGAGCAACTAAGCCTGTGCGCCACAACTACTGAGCCTACGCTCTAGAGCCCGCGAGCCAAAACTACTGAGCCCGCATGCCACAACTACTGAAGCCCTCGTGCCTAGAGCCCATGCTCTGCAACAAGAGAAGCCACCACTGTGAGAATCCCTGAGAAGTCCGCTCATCGCAACAAAGAGTAGCCCCCACTCACCGCAACTAGAGAGAGCCCATGCGCGCAGCAATGAAGATCCAATGCAGCCAAATAAATAAATAAATAAATACATTTATTTTAAAAAGAGATAATTAAGTTAAAATGAGGTAATTATTGTGGACCCTTATGCAATATGACTGGTGCCCTTATAAAAACAGGAGATGAGGATACAGATGCACACAGAATTGAGACCATGTGAAGAAAGGAGATCACTATCTACAAGCCAAGGAGAAAGGCCTCAGAAGGAACCAGTGATAAACCAAGTCCAGATTTCTTTTTTTTTTTAATTTTTTTAAAATTAATTATTTATTTTTGGCTGCATCGGGTCTTTGTTTCTGCATGCAGGCTTTCTCTAGTTGCTGCAAGCAGGGCCACTCTTTGTTGCGGTGCATAGGCTCCTCATTGTGGTGGCTTCTCTTGTTGTGGAGCACGGGCTCTAGGCGCACAGGCTTCAGTAGTTATGGCACGTGGGCTCAGTAGTTGTGGCTCTCAGGCTCTAGAGTGCAGACTCAGTAGTTGTGGTGCACAGGCTTAGTTTCTCCGCGGCATGTGGGATCTTCCCGGACCAGGGCTCGAACCCGTGTCCCCTGCATTGGCAGGTGGATTCTTAACCACTGCGCTGCCACAAGGGAAGCCCCTGGAGGCTTCGTCTTTTTTTTTTTTTTTAACATCTTTATTCGAGTATAATTGCTTTACAATGGTGTGTTGCCCCTCGAGGCTTCTTAAAACACTGGTACTTGGACCTTCCTTCCAAGGTGTCTGTCAATAGGTCTGAGTTCTGAACTGAGAATTAGCATTTCCAATGGGTCCCTAGGTGATGCTAATGGATAGGGTCAGTGCAGAGATGAAACTGAGAAGTTGTCTCAGAAATGCCAGGCTGCCTGCCTCTCAGCCCGTCTGTGGGGCTGTAGATATGCAGACTCTAAGAGAGCAGCAGAGTTAAGTTTTCTAATGGACACCCAGTGAGAGTCTCTGCAGTGAGCCAAGCAGGCCAATGGCTAAAAGGACTGGACCTCCTGAGGACACCTGTGGGAGCGCCACACACTGAAACCATGTAGCACCAGCTTCTTTTGCTTGGAACTGTAATTAAACAAGGAAGCCATTAGACTGAGGTGGCTCCAATGTTTTAACAGCCTTGTAAGCAAAGGGAAACCTGAACCAGAGTAAATTCTTGTAAATGCCTCCAAGGGAAGAAATAGAAACTTAAGAACAACTGATCACAAACAGCCCACTAGGCTTTCCCAAATAAGGCTATGCCTTAAGCTAGAGCCAATCAAATAACTTCCTTGCTTTGTTTCCCTTCCTGCTCTGCAAAAGTCTTTCCCCTGGTTTGGTTTGGGGCTGTCCAGTTTGAACTGATGTTTGCTCAAATGATCTCCTCAAATTTTTAATGTATCTCACTTATATTTTAATAGAACAACAACATAAAACCTCACAGGGCTCATCCTTGCTCAGTGGTGCTCTTATTAAGGAGTCTTCCTTACTGCTCTGTGTAATATTACATCCCATCCCCTCTGCTCAGCAAAATCGCCTTCTCTCCTTGTTTCCATTGCAACTTATTCTAACATACTATATAATTTAGTATTTCTTATTTCTTGTGTTTTCTTAAACATAATAGAAACTGCACAAAGGCAGGATATTTGTTCCTCTTGTGCCTGAATTTCTCGTATGCACCTAGAAAAAGATCCTGAAAATCCAGTTTGTGCCCAATGATCATTTGTTAGAGCAGTGAATAAACATGACACCTCAATTTCTCTCTTACTTTTACTATTCCAGGCACTTTTTTTTTTCCGTGCACCGTGAAGCATGCAGGATCTGAGTTTCTGACCAGGGATTGAACTCATGGACTGCCAGGGAAGTCCCTATTCCAGGTACTCTTAATGTCCTCTTTAACTATCACTGCAAAGTAGTATTGCTCCATGTTTTCAGGAATGAAAGAATCACATTTTGGAGACGAAATTCACACAATTATTAATGTTTAGGACAATCACATGTTCAGCTTGATTCTATCATTTTTGACTTCACAGTGCTTTCTTCTAAACATGTCTGAAAATTTTTCACCCTTTACTGATGTGTCCTTAGAGCTATTTCTGCTACTGTCTTTAAAGAACTACATAAACATTATTAACTTCTTTCTGAAATGCACATTTTGCAATTTTTTTTCTGAGATAATCTCAACTCCACATACAAAATGTCATACCAGGGCCTGCAGAAATAATCATCACTTTCTAGCAGAAAGATGAAATCATGGGGTTCAGATACTGTGGTGAGACACATTGTCCCAGAACTTATAATTTAGATTATAATGCCTAGAATCAATGATGGAATGCTTTGATTTGAAACTGTTTGTACTGTAACTGCTTTTATTGCTAATCGCTTGACTTGGCTTCTGTGAAATTGAGCTTTGCTTGCCAGCATAATGTGAACAGGAAAGTTCTAAAGTTCCAGGTGGCCGACCCGAGATGTTAAAATAAGCACGAACAACCTGTTTACCCTGGGATATAAAACAGCGCCTGTGTAAAGTCTCGGGGTCTCACCCTCCTTATGGGAGAGGCCCCAATCAATCGGTTTGTGTTGCTGTGCTTAATAAACGCCTATTATTAATATACTTTTGATCTACACTGGCTCTTGCTGTCCTTCCTTGGTGCTGGTTCCTCTCGGGGGAGTTCGCAGTTGTGTGCGGGACCGCAACAATACCCTTTTATTTCAGGGTTCATGTGCTGCCTTTTGCATATGTGCTCCAAATGAAAACTCACAGCTTCTGTGCATTACCCAAAATAGCATCAATTAAGTTGCTTTTTGTTTGATTTCTAAGAGAAATTGCATGTATCTGGGGATATGAATAAAAAGTATTACATGGATAAAAGTGTTCCTCAATGAGTGAGACAATCCCTAACTGTGCAGGCAAGAGAGAGGTTTTGCGTGGAACCAGAAGCAGACCTTGTTGTCCATCTTTTTCAGGGTGGCCCACCATTTGTTCAAAAGAAAACCACAGGCTCAAAATGAGTTACTTATGATAGGCCATGACACAAAATTGGGCCTTGATACCTAACCTAATTGAAGCTTCAACTTTCCCTGGGAATGTAGCCTTAATCAGTCAGTTAAGAATTTTCTGGTTGGCACCAATGAGGTAATCTGTCACATGGGGCCTCTCCATCCCCCCAAGGGAAGATGAGGTAACCTGGCACATAGACCCTTTCCATTCCCCATAGGTAGGTTACCTAAGCCTGAAATCATCTTTTTTATTGATGACTTACTCGTTGTACCTTACAAAAACCTTTCCTGTTTTGTAGCCCTTTGGAGCTCCCCTCTACTCGTTCGTTAGATGGGATGACGCTTGATTCGTGAACCAATCACTAAAGCCAATTATATTTTTAAAATTTACTCAGTTGATTTTTTTTTTTTTTTTTGGTTCTGAAACCCGGGCTTAAAGTTTTTTTGTTTGTTTGTTTGTTTGTTTTTTAACATATCCCTCTTCTTTCTTGCCAGTCAGGACCTGAATGGGAACTTTTCTATTGTTCTTAACCAATCACACTGAAACTCACAAAAGTGACTTTAATGCTTCAGGCTACAAGTATTGGAGAGCAGTAACATCAATTTTCCAGCTATGCATGTACTCATTTATGTCTGAATGGCTCTGTCGAACGATGTGCCGCTTACCTCAGGTGTGGACTGAAGAGGAACACACAACCTAAAAGTTTCTAGTTTTATTCAGGGATCTTACTCAGGACTATAGCTCTGGAGACAACCTTTCAGATCGCTCTGAGGAACTGCTCCATAGAGGTAAGGGAGAATCCAGGATATAGAGGAGTTTTTTGTTTCTTGTTTTTTTTTTTTTTCCTGGAAAAAACAGGTAGTCGAACATTAAGGGACTGCTGGTAATCACAAAGAACAGACAACTCAAGTTAATGATTTCAGTGCTTTTCTGTGTATGAGAAGATGCAAGAATCTGGCTTCCTTGAAACTGGTCCTTAGATATGCATCTTAACTATTAAGGGTCATTGTCCAAATTACAGAATGCTTCCTGCCTTTCTCCATCCTGATTTCCCCTCAGGGCACACCTTTGGGGAACAGCTGCAGTGGGGGCTGGCTTGATCCTTTTAGAAGTGGAACGGGGGGTGGGCAACATTCTCTGCCCACACAGTAATAGAATTTGGAAACGTCTAAAATAATAAACTTGTCCTCTGAGAGCAGGCTGAACTTCAAGGAATCTAAAACAACGTCTCTTCACGCCTTTCACAAGGAACAAAGCCCCTCCCTCTGGGTAGGAACACCATTTCTCCCGCATTCCTCGGGGTACCTCCCAGCCAACGTTCTGGCGGTAAGGATGGAGAACACCCTTCCCAGAGCTCTGAGAACGATATTACCCGGAAGAGCCTAGGCACAGAGACACCAGGCATGAACCAATGAGGGATCAGGATGAGGGCTTTCCCCGAGTGAGCATGCGTCAGGGGCGGGACCTCCGGCATCCTGTCCTGGCGATCATTTTGCTTGCTGGGGGGTCCGGCGGAGCAGGGAACGGTGCTCGGATACCGTCGTCCTCTGTCGGGGGCGGTTGTCCTCACGGAGTAGTGTGGGAGGAAGGGGACACCACCTAGCCAGCCAAGTCGCGCTCATTTTGGCGTCTCTCTCGTTGGCTCGCTGGTCGAGAACGGGAAGGTCGAGAGGAGGCAGTGTCCCCGCTGCACAGAGGCGTGTCAAGTTCGGCGATGCAGCCCGGGGTGCCGCGCGCCAGGCCCCGGATAAGGGCCGCCGCTCCCGGCCCTCTGAGATCACAGAATCCGATGGCGGCGGCGCTGAGGGACCCGCCTCAGGTAAACGCTTGTCCTTCGGGCCCTCACCGCCCTCACCCGACCAGACACTGAAGCCCCTAGTGCGGGGCGCCTGCTCACTTGCCCTCAGCCCCGGCCGCGGTGTCCAGGACGGTGAGGCGGTCGTGGGTGGAGTTCTGTTTCCGACAGATAGTATGTGGTTGCGTGTAGAAGAGGGTTACAGGCGGAGAGCAGGATACACGGAAAGGTTGGAGGTCTGGACCGGGGTACAGCAACTCTGTGCTTTCTGTTAGAAGCAAGATGCAGTGGGGCCAGAGTGAAGCCTGCAGTGTTGCTGCTTGAGAAGTTGGCCATCTTTTATACAAGTAATATGAGGTTTGAATCGCAGGTGGGAGGTGGTCTTCCCCAGATCAAAAGAGGCTACAACTAGTTGCAGACAAGAGATCAACTGTGGGAGTAAGGGGGGAGGCAGGAAACACAGGAAGATTAATTGCAATAGCCTAGGTGAGTGTTGATGGACCAGAGTGACTGTCCTGGAGTGTGATAAGTTCTGGATCCAGTTTTGGAGAAGGGCCAAGCCAAATTGTGTGTGTTGCTGATGACAGAAAGGAAGTAGTGATGGATGACCGGACGGTTTTGGCCCTTATTAGACAAAGGGATGAAAGCTTCATCAACTGGATGGGGACGTCAGCAGCAGGTTAATTTTCCTTGGAAACATCACAAGGTTGTTTTGGCTCTGTTAAAGAATCTGAGATGTTTCAGAGAAGAGTGAGTGTAGGCAACAAGTGGGCAGCTGGACAGGCAGGTCTGGAAAACTGGGGAAGGCGTTCAGGAATGGAAACTTTCAAAAGTGATGTCTACTGTGTGGACCAGGGTGGAGCTGTCTCACATTTAGGGGGGGGTGCAGGTTATAGTGGCCGTGGTATTAGTAGGTCAGAAAGACTGGTGTGTGCTGAGGAGTGGTTCTCTGGCTCAGGGCCTGGTTGGGTTTGCTGGACATTGAAAACCCAAGTGAGGTAGGAAGTGGCAGTGGGAACGTTATGGGAGAGAGGTTGATCTGGCGGGAGGCCGAGGCTTCCATGGGATGAGTGGACAAGTGACAGCTGAGGAGACTTAGGAGTAATTGAGACAAGAAGGCAGTGAGACTGGGTCTGTTGCTTATTTAGTATTACTACTATGTGGCTTCTCCAGAATTTTGTGGTTAGCTATGACGGGGTCTGGGACGTTTGAGGCTTGCTAGTGGATATGGTCTGTGGCAAATGTCGTCATTTGTGGGTCACTGTAACTGGCAGGGAGATATTTAGGACTGGGTTTTTTTTTGTTTTGTTTTGTTTTTACAAAGCTTGAGTTGAGACAGAGAGGAGTGTTGTGGCTGCTGAAAGGGCAAAACTGGCAGTAAAAAAAAGTTGAAGAGAGTTGAGGGAATATGAAATTCACATGTGGTTCTGGGTGGCTAATACTGAAGCAAAGATTAGAGGCAGTTGGGGAGATCTTCTAAGCAGCGTTTGTGGCTTACTCTGGTGTTGGATCCATTAGAGGACTGGGGTTGTACCGAATCATCTTTTTTTTTCTTTCTTTTTGCGGTACGTGGGCCTACCCGTGTCCCCTGCATCGGCAGGCGGACTCTCAACCACTGCGCCACCAGGGAAGCCCTGTACCGAATCTTGTTTGAATTTCTCAAGCCCTCTCTGGATGCCAAGCGCCAAATGTGTGGGTATGTTCAGGGAGAATTCTATGGTGTGGTGCATGGATGTGGCAGTGTTGTGGAAGCGCAACTGTAGGGTCTGAAATTGTGAGAGAAATGTCATCTACAGAATGATGTGCACATGGAGAGGAAGTGTGAGCTGATGGCCACCAGGCCCTGCTGTTGAGGCTTTACCGGTGAAGCATGAGCTGGCATTTGGCTGTGTCTGGATTCCCACAATTTGGGAGACCCCAGGGGAATTGCTTGGCTGGAGGGACGGGACATTGCAGGTCAAGCCCAAAGCTTAGATGGCATCTATGTGCCTCCCTACCTGTTACTGCTGAGGACTGAACAAAGTGATTAATGGGCTGTGAGGAGACAGAGGGCGTCAATCGCACCAGGGCCTGGCATCCTCTCTCAGGTGGGGAGCTCTGGTGGAGGATGACTGGAATAGATATATGAGAAGATGGATTGTGGGTTCTCAGAGGGAGAATGTTCAAGCTTTCATCTATCCCCTTCATGACAGGGTGGTGTGACCTTTCCGGATGTTGCTGTGCGCTTCTCCTGGGGGGAGTGGAAGCTTCTTGATGAGGCTCAGAGACGCCTGTACCTCAGTGTGATGCTGGACAGCTATGCACTTATATCCTCGCTGGGTAAGACCCTCCCCCTCCCCAGTGACCTGGGCTAGGCTCTGGATCCTTCCTCACCCTCACCCCCCCTTTCCGAAGGACGTGTTCTGTCCACCCATGTGGTGTAGGGAGAGCTTGCTTCCCCAGTAGTCTGTGTAGTTGTTGTGGTAGGTAAAGGCTGGGGTATTTGCACTGTCATCTTCTCTCCTGCAGCCCCACTCCTTGCTATTCTGTAAATTTATTGACTGATTTATTTATTTTGGGCTGCACTGGGTCTTCGTTGCTTCATGCGGGCTTTCTCAAGTTGCGGCAAGCGGGGGCTACTCTTCGTTGTGGTGCTCGGGTTTCTCATTGCGGTGGCTTCTCTTGTTGCGGAGCATGGGCTCTAGGCACGTGGGCTTCAGTAGCTGTGGCACACGGGCTTAGCTGCTCCACAGGATGTGGGATCTTCCCGGACCAGGGCTCGAACCCGCGTTCCCTGCATTGGCAGGCGGATTCTTAACCACTGCGCCACCAGGGAAGTCAGGCTTTTGGGAATCTTAGTTCCCCGACCTGGGATTGAACCTGGGCCCTCGGAAGTGAGTGAGTGCATGGAGTCCTAACCACTGGCCTGCCAGGGAGTTCCCTTATGGCCATTTTAACAATACTAATTCTTCCAATCCATGAATATTGGATGTATTTTCATTTGTTTCCATCTCTAATTTCCTTTATTAGTGTTTTATAATTTTCATTGTACACATTTTTCTGCTCCTAGGTTAATTTATTGGTCTTAATGCTATTACTGTGATTGCTTTCTTCGTTTCTTTCAAGATAGTCCATTGTTATTGTGTTGAAATGCGAGTGATTTTTGTATGTTGATTTTGTATCCTGCAGCTTTCTGATTTTGCTTATTCATTCTAACAGTTTGGTGGGAGACTCTTTAAGGTCTTCTATACATAAAGTCATGTCATCTGCAGAGAAGACTTTGCTTTTCAGATTTAAATGTCTGTTATTTCTTTTTGTTGCCTAATTGTTCTGTGTAGACTTTAGTACCCTGTGGAACAAAAGTGATGGGAAAGTGACCGTCCTTGTCTTGTTCCTGATTACAGAGAACAAGCTTTTAGCTTCTACAATGAATATGAAGTAGGCTGTGAGTTGTCATATTATATGGAGTATATCATGGTGAAGTCCTTTCCTTCTGTACCGAATCTGTTGAGAGTTTATATCATGAAAAGATCATATGATATTTTATACTCCACTTGCTAGGGTGGTGGGGTATTGCATACGTTTGTGTACCTTGAGGCATCCTTGCATCCCAAGGGTAAATCAGACTTAATTAGGGTATATTATCTTTTTCTTGTGCTGTTGAATTTGGTTTGGTAGTATTTTATTGAGGATTTCTGTTTAGGTGTTCATCATGAATATTGGTCTGCATTTTTCATGTAGTGTCCTTGGGTAGTAGCAGGGTAATGCTGGCCGCATAAAATGAGTTCAGAAGTTGTTGATCCTATTCCATTTTGGAAGTTTGTGGAGGATTGATGCTAATTCTTTTTAAATGTTTTCTAGAATTCACCAGTGAATGTATCTGGTCCTGGGATTTTCATCCCATTCATTTCTTTTCTTTCTTTTTTTTTTTTTTTTTTCATGCCATCACTGGACCAACAGGGAATTCCCTCATGATTCAGTCTTGGTTGTTTGTTCATAGGACTGTATTCATTTCTTCTAGGTTATGCAGTTTGTTGGCATTTAACTCATCATAGTAGTCTCTAATGATCGGTTGCATTTCTGTGTTATCAGTTGTAATGTGTTTTTAATTTCTGATTGTTTTTGCAAAATTAATATTATTATGATTGTTTTACATCTTTTTTGGAGTATAATTCCTTTACAATGGTGTGTTTCTGCTTTATAACAAAGTGAGTCAGCTATACAAATACATATATCCCCATATCTCCTCCCTCTTGCATCTCCCTCCCACCATCCCTATCCCACCCCTCTAGCTGGTCACAAAGTACCGAGCTGATCTCCGTGTGCTATGCGGCTGCTTCCCACTAGCTATCTATTTTACATTTGGTAGTGTATATATGTCCATGCCATTCTCTCACTCTGTCCCAGCTTACCCTTCCCACTCCCCGTGTCCTCAAGTCCATTCTCTACATCTGTGTCTTTATTTCCTGTCCTGCCCCTGGGTTCTTCAGAATCTTTTTTTTATTATTATTCCATATATATGTGTTAGCATATGGTATTTGTTTTTCTCTTTCTGACTTACTTTACTCTGTATGAGAGACTGTAGGTACATCCATCTCACTACAAATAACTCAGTTTCGTTTCTTTTTATGGCTGAGTAATATTCCATTGTATATATGTGCCACATCTTCTTTATCCATTCGTCTGTCGATGGATACTGAGGTTGCTTCCATGTCCTGGCTATTGTATATAGAGCTGCAATGAACATTGTGATACATGACTCTTTTTGAATTACGGTTTTCTCAAGGTATATGCCCAATAGTGGGATTGCTGGGTCATATGGTAGTTCTATTTTTAGTATTTTAAGGAGGTTCCATACTGTTCTCCATAATGGCTGTATCAATTTACTTTCCCGCCAACAGTGCAAGAGGGTTCCCTTTTCTCCACACCCTCTCCAGCATTTATTGTGTCTAGATTTTTTGATGATGGACATTCTGGCTGCTGTGAGGTGATACCTCATTGTAGGTTTTTTTTTTTTTTTTAATTAATCAATTATTTATTTATTTATGGCTCCATTGGGTCTTCGTTGCTGCATGCGGGCTTTGTCTAGTTGCGGCGAGCGGGGGCTACTCTTCATTGTGGTGCACGGGCTTCTCATTGCGGCGGCTTCTCTTGTGGAGCATGGTCTCTAGGTGTGCGGGCTTCAGTAGTTGTGGCTCATGGGCTCAAGAGCTCAGGCTCAGTAGTTGTGCCACACAGGCTTAGCTGCTCAGCAGCACATGGGATCTTCCCAGACCAGGGCTCGAATCGGCATCCCCTGCACTGGCAGGTGGATTCTTAACCATTGCGCCACCAGGGAAGACCCCTCATTGTAGTTTTGATTTGCATTTCTCTAATGATTAGTGATGTTGAGCATCCTTTCTTGGGTTTGTTGGCAATTTGTATATCTTCTTTGGAGAAATATCTGTTTAGATCTTCTGTCCACTTTTGGATTGGGTTGTTTGTCTTTTGATATTGAGCTGCATGAGCTGCTTGTAAATTTTGCAGATTAATCCTTTGTCAGTTGCTTCATTTGCAAATATTTTCTCCCATTCTGAGGGCTGTCTTTTTGTCTTGTTTACGTTTTCCTTTGCTGTGCAAAAGCTTTTAAGTTTCATTAGGTCCCATTTGTTTGTTTTTATTTCCATTTCTCTAGGAGGTGGGTCAAAAAGGATCTTGCTATGATTTATGTCATAGAGTGTTCTGCCTATGTTTTCCTCTAAGAGTTTTATAGTATCTGGCCTTACATTTAGGACTTTAATCCATTTTGAGTTTATTTTTGTGTATGGGGTTAGGGAGCATTCTAATTTCATTCTTTTACATGTAGCTGTCCTGTTTTCCCAGCACCACTTATTGAAGAGGCTGTCTTTTCTACATTGTATGTTCTTGCCTCCTTTATCAAAAATAAGGTGACCAGGGCTTCCCTGGTGATGAAGTGGTTGAGAGTCCACCTGCTGTTGCAGGGGACACAGTTCGTGCCCCGGTCCGGGAAGATCCCACATGCTGGGGAGCAGCTGGGCCCGTGAGCCATGGCTGCTGAGCCTGTGCCTCTGGAGCCTGTGTTCTGCAATGGGAGAGGCCGCAACAGTGAGAGGCCCATGTACTGCTATATATATATATATATATATATATATATATATATATATATATATATATATATATATATATATATATATATATATATATATGGTGACCATATGGGCGTGCATTTATCTCTGGGCTTTCTTTCCTGTTCCATTGATCAATATTTCTGTTTTTGTGCCAGTACCATACTGTCTTGATTACTGTAGCTTTGTAGTATAGTCTGAAATCCCAGCGCCTGATTCCTCCAGCTCCATTTTTCTTTCTCAGTATTGCTTTGGCTATTCATGGTCTTTTGTGTTTCCATACAAATTGTGAAATTTTTTGTTCTAGTTCTGTGAAAATTGCCATCGGTAGTTTGACTGTAGATTGCTTTGGGTAGTATAGTCATTTTCACAATGTTGATTCTTCCAATCCAAGAACATGGTGTATCTCTCCATCTGTTTGTATCATCTTTAATTTCTTTCATCAGTGTCTTATAGTTTTCTGCATACAGGTCTTTTATTGTCTCCTTAGGTAGGTTTATTCCTAGGTATTTTATTCTTTTTGTTGCAATGGTAACTGGGAGTGTTTCCTTAATTTCTCTTTCAGATTTTTCATCATTAGTGTATAGGAATGCAAGAGATTTCTGTGCATTAATTTTGTATCCTGTTACTCTATCAAATTCATTGATTAGCTCCAGTAGTTTTCTGGTAGCATCTTTAGGATTCTCTATGTACAGTATCATGCCATCTGCAAACAGTGACAGATTTACTTCTTTTCCAGTGTGGATTCCTTTTATTTCTTTCTCTTCTCTGACTGCTGTGGCTAGGACTTCCAAAACTATGTTGAATAACATTGGCGAGAGTGGACATCCTTGTCTTGTTCCTCATCTTAGAGGAAATGCTTTCAGTTTTTCACCATCGAGAATGATGTTTACTATGGGTTTGTCGTATATGGCCTTTTATATGTTGAGGTAGGTTCCCTCTATGCCCACTTTCTGGAGAGTTTTTAATCATAAATGGGTGTTGGTATGTTTTAGTCTTTTCTCTTTGTGTACCTAATGGCTTGTCAATTATTTGTCTTTTCAAAAATGACCTCCTTGTGTTCTTTATCTTCTCTTTTTTCTAGTTTCTGGTTTTATTTATTGCTGCTCTGATATTTATTATTTCCTTTCTTCGGTAATGTTGGGTGTAATTTGTTCTTTCTTTAGTTCCTTGAGACATAAATTTGTTTGAGGTCTTTTTCTAAACATGAGCATT